TTCATCATCTCAAACAGTATTATACTGCATACTGCAGAGCAGAAAAATCTTAGGGAACATCAAGGGTATTTTAATCATGTTGAAGCATCAATATTTAGTGTTGACAAAAGGTTGATCATGATAAATTACTTTGCACATGTTTCAAATACTTAGTACATGTATTTCAACAACAGGCTGTAACACTTAAAATTATTCACATGGACCTCAATTAAGCGACTGACCTTGCCGCTTTGGTCAAGGTCAACAGTAGAACATGAATTTCTCTTCTTGAATTGTCAAACAATTCACAAACACTGTGTATCAATGTATGAAATATTCAAAGCAGGGTTCAAAATATCAAGAACCATGTAGATTTAGTTAAGAAATTATTAGACATAGAATATATAATAAACAATAGTTTGACTTTGAGGTCAAAGGTCAAGGTGAGGAGAAGTCAAAGTAATGTATGACTCATTACCTTTTACAGCTGAGCCCATGTGGAATAAGAATATATATATTGTTTCTTAAAGGACAAATTAATTCTAGTGATCTGAATAGTTAACAGGAAATCATCTAAAAATACCAAAATTTGCTTATTTTTAAATCTCCATGGCAACAATGTTTTTGAAAGTCGACCCAAATTTTTTGATTATGATTTTTTTTTTGGATCAACCAAATACTAATTTTGTTCTTGAACTGTCTAACAGGACCATGCAGCTTGAAAATTATGATGCAAAAAATAAGGAGCAATATATGATAAATGCCTCAGATGGCCCCTTAAAATGAATATCTTTATTTTACTTTATATATAGCTTTAATTTGTGCAGCTATACATGCAACCTTTATTGGTCGTTTTCAAATTGATCAAATGCTGCCAATTTAGAAATATGACATCATAAAGTTCACATATTCCCGCCATTTTAGCATATTTTGTATAAAACTGCTTATTTTCAAGCAGTTTTTCTTCCAGAAAATATAGAGCGCAGACTAGAACAAGCTTTATATTTTTACCAAAGATATTTCCATCAAATACTACTTAGTGACAGAAAAATTATGTATGTTCTACACTGCACTCTGTTTCCCATAAGACAAAACATCAAAAAGGCCTATAATTTTTTGCCTTTTTTGGTTAGATAGCAAAAATAGCATTATTTCTCATGTCATTTTTAGCCAGTGAGTGCATATAAATATGAAAAATATTTGGAAATACTTCAAATATATCCTCTTATTCAAATTCAATATCAATCAAACATATCTCAATATCATTCTAAAATGTTGAGTTTTAGGGGGCCAAAATTGGCTCTTATCATATATAGTCCTTTATCAATTGGCATTGAAGTCAAAGGTCAAGGTGAAAAGAAGGAAATATTTCTAATATATCCTTATCTTCAAATAAAATATCAATTAAACATATCTTAATATCATTCTAAAATGCTGATTTTTAGGGGGGCAAAATTGGCTCTTATCATGTATAGTCCTTTAAAATTTGACATTGAAGTCAAAGGTCATGGTGAAAAGAAGGAAATATTTATACTATACAGTATCCTCATCTTCAAATTAAATATCAATTAAACATATCTTAATATCATTCTAAAATGTTGATTTTTAGGGGGGCAAAATTGGCTCTTATCATGTATAGTCCTTTATAATTAGACATTGAAGTCAAAGGTCAAGGTGAAAAGAAGGTCATGGTATTTTATGACTTATTTTCATTCCAGATGCACCAATCTGTTACATTTGACACTGTTTCTTATAGGATAAATTACTGATAATACCATGAACTATTTGCAGGAAATCATCTTTAAATGCCTAAATTTGCATATCTTTGAATCTCCATGGCAACATTGTTTTTGATTGTCTACCCAATTTTATTTTTTTAATTCTTTAATTAACCCAACCCTAACAAAATCACACTAAAGAGTTTATAAGTAGTTGCACAGCATTTTTTAAAAAGCCTTTCAAAAAATGGTGCAAATTCAACTATTTTTTTGTTCAAATCATATCTCTTCTTCCCATCACCATAGCAACGTACTGAAAAAATGTTATCATACTTAGTTGGTCACGTAAGAACTTAGAATGAAGTCCTCTTTAAGGAATGAGTAATTGCAAACAATCTTTTGACAACCTTTATGTGCATATATACTCTTTTTATGGCAATATTTGCCTGTTTTGAAAGTAAAAAAATCTATTCTGGTAACTAAGGAAATGTTTTTCCTTGGATACGACAGTGTCGTTATGGTTAAAATCAGTATTTTTGTATTTTTTCGTTTAATTGTGACGGAAATAATCCATAAACACTGATTTCAAGAAAATTAAAATTTTTGACTTTCCATTCAAAGCTCAATGCTTACTGGCATGGCCTCTTAAAGTATTACATGTCGCTATTTTTAGCACAGGGGCATGAGGAGAGTCATTGCGTATAAAACAGGTTCTCAGCAGAATTTATATTCCTATCACATCTACCAGAACTGTTTAATAAAGTTTGAATAAGACACCATGTTTTGTGTAAATTTTTGACGATATCAAACGTGAATATACACATGTATGTGACCTCATATTTGCATATAATTGTCGAAATTGTACAGCAGTTTCGTTGCGCAGTGGTATGTCTCCTGCTTCACATGCGAGAGGTCACGGGCTCGATTCTCTGACGATCATTTTTTCTTTTCCGAAATTCTTTTTTTTTACTAAATGATAGTATTCGGCAAGTGAAATTAAAAAAAAATATGAGGTCTAGCTTGTAAAAAACCCATAAAAATCATGCATCATTACGTTGTGATAAATAATCCACATAAAAAGCATCTTCTATACACATGATTAAATCATCATATCAATATTGACATTTTTTTTGCTTCAGTATACATGTATACATTTAAAAATTCTACAAATTCAATTAGGGGGATCCGACCCCCTCCCCCCCCCCTCCGCCCCGAATTGCTCATGGTTTACTTTTCCCCTAACCGGGTGACACAAATTCTCTGAATTAGCTTGTTAGATTTACATCAATAAAAAAATGCTAACAGACAAACAAAGAATGGTACTCTTGGATTGAACATTTTTATTTGATCCACTTTCATGAATACACTGTACAATTTATGGATCTATTTTCTGGATCCCTGAGTCTCCGGTAACACTATCCACTCACTTCCAGCATCAATGGTCTGTAATGTAATGATGTATTCTCATAATGATAATCTGAAAAAAGTGATAAAATTAAATTGTAATAATATTATACAGCTTTGCCTTCAGATACTTACTAAGAAGCATTTCTAGTTGAGCTTGAGCAATGATGATGAATGCAAAGCATGTTTATTGGAATCAATTAAACTCCAAGAGATCTCCATGGTTTAGTTTATCATTTTATTTTAAAAAGTTAACGTTTTTACTAAATGTATTATTTACACGTTTTTCCTGTCTAATTCTATATCAACTCATCCAATTCTGTTTCTGCTTCTTTCCGAGTTTGGCTTCAAAGTGGCGAATTTCATTTTTAAAACAGAAGTATACAACACAAAGTTGAGACGGTATTGATTTAGATATTTTTTAAATTTATTAACTTGTAATAAAAAAGTCAATTGGTTCTAGGTTTTGTCAAAAAAGGTCAATTGGTTCTAGGTTTTGTCAAAACTCTAAATTGTGGTTTTCATTTCTTTCCAATAACACCCCCCCCCCCCAAGAAAAACTAGAGTATAGAAATTCTTTTCAAAAAATTATGTGCTGTAATTGTAATGATACTTTTTATTTGAACCTAGTTGAATTAAATTAGTTCAGTGATACCGGTGAAATGTTAGCTGAATATGAATTTTCTTTCATACGTAAACACTGGATGACATCAGCAAAAACCTTTTATTTTATTATTTTTCTTTGGTATATATACAATTCAGTTACCACTAATCCACTACATTATATACTTGTCTGTATCACAATACTTCCAAGGTAATCCCCTTTCCTAAGCTAAAATATATTAAGTACAGAGTTAACCCCCTGCCCCCTTTCCTTTTTTTAGGACGTACGTCATAATCAATCAGAGTTAAATTGAAATGTGCAAAAAAAAAAACACTTACCAAGTGTTACATATTTTCCTGCATGGTTAATTTTTGTTATAAATTCTTCAGAAACTGTTGTAATGGTAAATTGTAAAAAAAAAAAAAAATCAGACACTAACCGTAATTAAGACTCATGAAAACGCCAAAACTGAGGCTCAGACTGCTCCAAGTTTGTAATTTTCTTCTAGTCTTCTGTACACTGTTATTGAAAACAATGTAAGCAAACTACCGTTTATTCCTCCTATGTTAGAGAGCTATTATACCAAAGGGAGGTAATTTGAAGCAAAAAAGACAAAATTATGGATTTAAATCAGTTATCATACATGAATGCATTAGTTGCCTGCAGATTTTTTTCTTGATTTTTCTAGGACAAATACTGTTTAATATATATTTTATGTTGATAAGCTTTAATGTCCCTTGCAGAATATTCCTGAGATGTCCTAAGAAATCCTAAGATAATCTTGAGATTTATTCCTCGGATATCTTGAAAAAATCTTAGGATTAATCCTAAGATTTCCTGAGATGTTTTTGGAACAGGAATTCCTGGGATTTCCTTGGACTGTCCCAAAAGGGGTTCTAGAAAAAATCCCAAGAATCAAAATGCCAAGATTTCCCAGGAATAAAATGTCCCAGGAATACCTGGGAGATTTCCTGAGATGTTTTTGGAACAGGAATTCCTGGGATTTCCTTGGACTGTCCCAAAAGGGGTTCTAGAAAAATCCCAAGAATCAAAATGCCAAGATTTCCCAGGAATAAAATGTCCCAGGAATACCTGGGATATCCTAGGATATACACTTACTTGGAATGTCCTAGGACATCCACTAACCTGGGATATTCTAGGACATTCTCTAAATAAAAATTGTACCAAATGACTAAAACAAAACAATTAATCTACAGTTATTATTTCTGTTAGCAAAAATTTAATCATTGCATTAATTGCATTGAAAAAAAAAATACAATAAAAATTTCAGGGTCATAGAGAAATATGCTAAAAATGTACAAATATTTACAGTAGTTGTAACAAATTAACTTTTTCACAATTTAATATCTTTATCGTAGATGTAAACTGAAGTATGTAATAAACAATTACAATAATACAGTAACTGCTATTGTATACACCAAATTGGAATTAATAGTTACATTTCAATGTCAATGTAGTAATTTACCACAATAAATATATTTTCTCAACTTTCACAATAATTGGTATAATGCAATACTATTTTATTTTTATTTTTATTTATCCCCCCTGACCATTTCACTTCAAAATATATAAGGGTAATATTTAATTTATAAACAATATTAAATTTGTATTGATGATTCATCATGTTCTGCAGTGGGATCGTCAAAATGAGTTATAATATAAAACGTCATTGCAATATCTGATGGCTTTTTGGAAATGTTAAGAGAACAAAGTGTTACAGACAGACAGATTGACAAAGATAAACAGACCCAAATTAATATACCCCCTGCACCTCGTCAATCCAATATAAGTCGCCCAGCTTTAGTTGATCACTGATGTATCTTCTTTAGCTGTACATTTTTCTTCTTCATCGCCAGTGGCCTAGTTGCAGATCGTGAAGCCTTGTTTGCTTTTTCTTCACTCGACTTTTCACTTGTCTTTGCTAAAATAAAATTTTACTTAATGTATTCCATTGTTTAGTCTAAATATGTAATTATTTCTAGGGGATAAAAATCAAACTTGTAAAATTTAGTAGCCAAAGATGCTACATGTACCAAGCTTTCAGATTCTACCAGTCCATAAAAATATGTGTTTGCCCAAGTAAGATGAACTATTTTTCTCAAAAGATTTATTTTATTCACACTTGCATAAGGAATAAGGTATGTTAATCAATTGCATACATGACGTGATTTACAAATGATGTCATAATAATCTTACTGAATAGCCTTTTTGTAGAAAATAAAATTTTAATTCGCAATGAATAGTTTACCGCTTTACCACAGCTGTCGTATGAAGTCAATTTACTTGGCATTAAAATACTGTGAATTAAACTCTCCGTGTAAACAGAACATTAAAATCATACATTAACATTATTTGAACAGCTTACCTTTCTCGGCAATATCCTCCTTGTTGTAATTTGCTTCTTTTCCCTTAGTCCGAGTTAAACAGTCTGCAAAGTTATCAATAAAATTTTTTATAAGATGTGTATATATTTGTTCTTTTGTAATCTAGCTGAAATTAATTTTAATGATGGCTGTCATTGATATTTCTTGCTGATTTTTTCATTTTTCTGTTCTAAATTTTGTGAATATTATCTTATGAGTTCTACGACATCTGCGTCAGTTTTCCCAACTTAATATAAGTTACAGAGATTGAAATGTACCATAAACTTTCATAGACGACTTTCACATTTACAAAAGTTATTCCCCTTTGCGGGGTTAATCCAGGGTCAATCGGCTTAAGAAACTGTTTCCCCTCTATTACCTTACCAACTTTATGGGTCAGTATCTGAGAAATATAGTATGTATGAATGAAATAAAAATATTTCCAGGTAACTTACAAAGGACAAAGTGGGAAAAATGAGTGTTACGCCGACAACAGGAGATAACTCTTAGGAATGTGAAATCCGTCTATTCTTTCAAGTTTACAAAAGAAAATTTTAAAAAAAGATTACAAGATACATGTACCTGAAACTTTCTCTTCATTTGGTAGTCTCAATGGGAGTTTCCAGTCTCATAATCCTTGCCAGGCTTCAAGGTTTAAGCTAGAAGATAACAATGCAATGAAGGCTTTATTTAAGAGTATAATTCCAAAATTTACACCATGTCAAAACATTCAATGCAAATTTAACAGTAACTGATAATAAATATTTGTTTATAAGTCTTCTGCTTACTAAATTTAAACATGCAAAACCTGGAAATATTTCACTGTGTATCTACGTTTGATCTTCATGGACTAGACTGAATCACAGTATGCACAAAAACCTTTTACACATATTCAAATCGTTTCTTCTGTTTCAGTATTGAAATATTATACAACACATCACATGCACTAAATTATTCAACAATATTTGTGTGTTTAAATACATATTACAAGGAACCACTCGCCACTTACCCCACTGGTCTGTGGCCATGATATCTACACTTCTTCCAACATTCCCTTTACTGCACTCCTAGCGAAACCAAGATTTTTGGGAGAGAGAACATGGTTTATGTGAAGAATTAGAGTCAATCATGGGCGTAAGTTGTGCATTTCATTGCATTTCACCAGTCTCTCTAAACATTGCCGCTCCTTGAACTCCTATTTTGCGCTTCTCGATGAAGTCTCGCGAGAGGATGATACAGGACGGTGTAAAGTTATTTCGTGCCACACCAAGAAAATTCGGTTTGTTTATTCTTGAAAATAATTTGTGATTCATGTGAATTTACGTTTTTTTTTTTTTTTACAAAAAGAAAATCTATTTTAGCGAATATTTTCTGACAAAATAAATTTCAAAGCTGAGTTGACAGTAAAATATAATTTATACATCAGGTACTAATTGATCGAAGATCACTTTTTTGTACCACCTCTCGGAAGTTTGCGCGAGAGAATGCTGCAGACACGGTGTAGGGGTATTTTGTACACCTTTAAGAAATATCCCGACATTTTCCCGAGAATCTTGTTAAAAAAAAACACGTAAGTTTTTTTATCAGTGACAAACGACCCGCATATTAAAAAAATAAAATATAAATACCCTTGGTCAACCAATTCTACTAACAGAAAGTGTTACAGAAGAAAATATTTTCGAAGAACCACGATGATACATTTAGGCCAAGAGCAATTTGCATGGAAACCGTCCAAACACAAATATGGCGGATCGTGAAGTTGTCACATTGTGCTGTAAACAACGACTTTTCTTCGCATCTACAAGCCTGTCACGATGTCTGTAAGTATTTTATTGCTAAGTGCTGAATGAAAATTAGTGTATCTGGCGATAAAACCTATAGGGAAAGCGCATTTTTATCGTATTTAATAGTTATGTTACGACTCGAATTTGGTCAAAAACCTTTGAAAAGTTTTTTGGATCTCTGTTTATGTGGATAAAATTTTCAGGAAACGCTATTAGTTTTACTGCGTTTTTTAGATTTTCCTCGTTAAATAAAAGCAATACTCAATATCAAAATATGAGGAATTATATTCTCAAACTCAATACAACACGATTCTTACCCAACAAAATTTGAAATACCAAGCTTTTTAAGACAGAAAGTGACGAAAGTATGATGTCACAGACCAAGTCATGCTTCTTGAGTATGCTGTTTATGTAGGATTTAAATTTGTGTAGTGTACTCTTCTTTCAATGACTCAATATTTACTTTTCTTTTGTATAGTATCTCTGGCAGTTATGGATGAATATACAGCGAAATCATACAGATTTGGATGAAGATGTTAAAGATAGTAAAGACAAAGAAAGTTTGATGAACCAAATGACATTGATAAAGAAGAAGATACAGAAAAAATGGCATGTGACTTTGAAGCTGATAGTTTGGTAACCACCTGAGAGATATATAACCTGTATGCAGGTGATGACGGTATAGGAGAGCCATTTCTTATAACGTGCTCTGAGGAAAATATGTTTTATTTTGTCGAAATGAAATGCGAAGTGAAAAATTAAATTGACAGATGAAGAAAATTTACCACTCCATCCTTCTGCATGTATGGTCTTCTGAATTCAAAGCCATTTGAAAACCAACTTTAAGTTAAGAGGAACATTTTATTTTTAGTGAAACATTCTGGAAAATATTACTTCTACATAGAAAGAAAAAGTTGTATTAATACTTGATGTTGTATTGCAAGATGGCCAAGTTTGTATGACCAGTGCTTTCGAAAAAAAAAACTTTGCTTGCACTCAGTTTCCCATGAACGAAGCAATCTAAAGATTAAGTGTAGAATTAAATTCTAATGGATAAAAATCAACTCAGAAATGTGTGATTTGAAAATGGTGAAATATTGTTTGTCTGTAAACAATTTTTCTTTAAAACATATTACATGTATAACTCCTCCCTGACAGCATCAATATTTCAGAAAGTATTTAATTTAAATAATAGTTCTAGGGTCAGTGTCTTTCTATGAATCAAGTATAATATGTAATGATGGAAAATTATTCATTTTATGATTTTCTTGATATTATACATTAAAACTTTAAAAGTAATAAAATTTCCTGTCATTCTGTTTTAACATATATATTTTATTAACATGTACAAGTTTGTAAAGTTTAATTTGTCTTTTTTACAAAAGTCCCAACATTAAGTCAAAAGTCTTAGGAAATGGGATTATCATAAAAATGATTAACTCCTGGCTTTACAATGAAATGTCCTGGCAAGGTTTGGATTTGAAATGTTTAACAAAAAAGTCCTGGGAGATCCTAGGATGTCCTGAAATCAAATCCCAGGATTGTTACTCCTAGGATTTCCTCAAATCAGATTGTGAGGAAATCTTAGGAATTCTTAGGACATCTTAGGAATTCCTGAGAAGCATTTTCAAGTCAGGAATAATTTCTGCAAGGGGTGGTTGTAGATTTCTTAAAGAGTACTGCAAATTTGCTGTTTTTTAAATCAAAATAAACCTCCAAAAACTAGTTTTATTTATCAAAAGGTGAAAAGAATTTCAATAATCAACAGTTGTTAAAATAGAGTATTTTTAGATAAACAGAATAATCATTTAAAAAGCTTTTATTAATGACTAGTAATAAAAAATATTTGTTTTACCATAAATTCAAGTGTCATGATATAGTACAAAACACGATATTTGAAAGGCGCGTGGTTTCCATAGCAATAATGCGAAAAATTAATTTTGACTTCTTTTTTCTATTATACCCCTCTGTTCTGAAAATTTATATATGAGTTTTAACCAAATCTGTTTCTATGCCGCTTTCCACATTTTTTAACTCAATGCTCGATGCTTGCTGATTTTGACTCTTAAACATCAATATTTTCTTTAGAATAACATAGGTCATTTTACAGCATGTTCGAAATTACGTATCTTTGAATAAACATTGTTTGAACACGATTTCTTAAGTTTTTTTAACCAAGTTTTAAATGTAACATTCTAACAGTTTAGAGGTTTTTCCATATTAAAATTGGGTTTTACCAAACACTAGAATTTAAGATTCTCTTTATTAGTAACAACATTGATAAAATGAAAGTGGGCTTCATTGGAAAGCGATACATCTGTTAAATTTTCAGAATTGGGTCTCATTAAAACTGTATACAACTTCTAATTTCTGTCTCTTTCAAAAGCTGCATGCATTACAATAATCTTTGAGAAATCAGTTTTAAATCGAATTCGAGTATTGTATGAATGCTACATTTACCAAAGATGCTATCTTGTTTATGCAGGACCCCATCTAAGGGTTGTTTTTTTTTAAACTTAAGTTTCAGTATAGTAATAACTCATTGAATGGTATTAATGCTCTCTTTGGTATGGGTACTCCTTGGTCTTCTAATACTAGAATTAAGCCTTGTGTCATTTATGCATGGTGCCTTTAACTTCAAACTTCCTCATAAATCTGTAAATTAGCATTCTGTTGGGCTTTTTCATTACCATTATTACAGGATTTTGTTTTCTCATGGTTCTAATGACTTAAGTAGCAGATTGTTTACACCCCTATACTAAAGTTTTACAACTTCTATCAGCTGTTCACATGAAGGTTCCATATAAAAAATATGTTGACGTCATTTGGACATCATAATTACCTGAATTTTAAACAGAATTTTATGAAAGTTTGTCAGATAAAATGTATGCTAGTACACTAGATGTTGACAAAATATCTTTTTGAATGCTTGTGGTTTGATCAAGTCACAGATGATTAAAAGTGTAACATGTGTTTCGGGACACCCTGTATGTCCATCTTGCCTCTTGTGCTAGCATTTGTAAATTCTTTCCTTCTCTAAAATTTCAACCAATTTTGGGCACCCTTGCTGGAAAATGGTAGAGTTGATCCCTGATAGTAAAAAGTATGGAAACATTCTACAGAAGTGTCAATGCGAGTTTATTCAACCCCTCCCACTTCGGGGGAGAGATGTGGATCACTTGTATCTTTTAACTTTAAATACTTAATTAATTTCTTCTGCTTTTTTTTTCTAGCCAAAACTACAGTGAGTGTTGTGGTACATGACTTTCTGTTAATTTGTAGGTGGAGATGCAGTTTTAATGTGCCTTCTGCTTTGCCCTTCATACAAATTAAATCTGGAAGAACAACACTGGATAAAGAAGTATAATGCTGTCGCTGAAGTTTTCAAATTCAAGAAGATAAAGAAGCCGTTTAATCTTAGCAACTTAAAGAAGTACAAACCAATACTGAGACAGGATTATGTGAATGTTGAGTTTTCTTCTGATTTCTTTAAACACACCAGTTTCCTTAGATTCACTAAAAATCCAGGTTTTGTGGATATTTTTCTGACCTCGGCAGAAAAAGACAACATTGCTGAGTACTGCAGGTCATGGGTTTATCCAAAGAAAGAGGGGGAAGTCTTTTGCTGGTTATCACCACAACAAACAGCACAATTGATAGAAAGACTTGGAGAGGATATTTTCATCCATCCAACATGGCAGGATACAACAATACATGAGGATGTATTTAAAAATTGTAAGTCTTTCTTTTATATTTCAATTTCTATATTGTTTTTGTCCTGTCTCTTTGTCTGTTTGTCTGTTGTCAACTTTAACCTTGGCCATAACTTTTGAACAATAAAAGATAGAGACTTCATATTTGGTATGCATACTTCACTAATAAAGTCCTTTCAAATGACCTCAAGGACAATGACCTTGTGACCTTGACTGTGACTTATATGCTAAAAATAGCTTTTTCCACTGTTTGTCATAACTTTTTAACCAGACAAAATAGGGACTTCATATTTGGTATGCATACTTCTCTAATAAAGCTCTTTCAGATGACAACAAGGTCAATGACATTGTGACCTTGAATGTGACCTATATGCTAAAAATAGATTTTTACACTTTTTGCCATACCTTTTGAATCATAGGAGATAGGAACTTCATATTTGGGATGTATACTCCACTGATTAAGTTCTTTCAAATGACACCATGGTCAATGACCTTGACTGTGACCTATATGCTAAAAATAGCTTTTTTTTTTACACTTTTGGCCATAACTTTTAAATCAAAGGAGATAGGGACTTCATATTTGGGATGTATACTCCACTGATTAAGTTCTTTCAAATGACACCACGGTCAATGACCTTGTGACCTTAACTGTGACCAATATGCTAAAAATAGATTTTTTGAACTTTGTTTCCGCCGGGCGCATGGTGTTTCACAAACACATCTTGTTTTTTTCTGTGATAAACCTTTGAAAGTTATCGGAGTTGATTTCTTGAAAATTCTACCGGATTCCTTAAATACCTTCCCCTAAGTATATACGGTTACCGTGTAAAATGAAGGATATGTAGATATTAAACAATATTCAATATCAAAGACCATGAAAACATTGTAAATATGCGTAGCTCAGCTCACTCAAAATTTGATACTCATGATACTCATCAACTAATCAGTATAATAATTAAATGGCATAATTTGACCAGTATTTAGATACATGTATCTGGATCCAAGATTCTATTTAAAGAATGTGTTAAGCTTTTTAGTCATTGGTGTATAAATTACATAGACTAAATACAAATGCATATTTCAGGCTAATTGATAAACAAATACTATCAATTTTTCCAAATAACTTTTGTGAATGAAGAAAAAGTGCTTTCCTATTTAATTTTTTGCATTGCCAACAACAAGATATTTCTGAGCTTGTTACTATTTTTAACTCATGACCTTTACCTTTACGTTTGATCACTTTTCAAAATTATTAACTTTGCTTATAGAAAAGAATACTAAGAAAATCAGGTGTGTAAAATTGCACTTGTTTGCCTTTGAAATTTTAGTACAAACTAGTAGAACAGCGATACAATGATAGATGTTTTATTATTATAGTTGGTGTACCAATGCCGATTTTGATGAGAGGAGAAGAGTCAGTGAAGACTTTCATTGAAAATCTGAAGAAAGGGAAGACAACCATGTACCATGCCTCTGGGATGATCATTGGGTGTGCAGGTAGTGGGAAGTCAACTCTATTAGAAAGACTGAAGGGCATAGACCTGAAAGAAATTCTGGAAAGTTCAAAGTCAACCAGGGGTATTGATGTCCAGGCTGACATATTTGATGTAACTGGAAAAACAATCAAGGGTATGAATTTTTAGCTCACCTGAGCCGAAGGCTCAAGTGAGCTTTTCTGACCACATTTTGTCCGTCGTCCATCCTTCCGTCCTTCTGTCCGTCTTTCCGTCTGTCTGTCTGTCTGTAAACTTTTCACATTTTCGACTTCTTCTCAAGAACCACTGGGCCAAACTTGATACAAAGGATCCTTGGGTGACGGGGAATTTAAATTGTTAAAATGAAGGGCCAATTCCCTTACAAGGGGAGATAATCAAGGAAAGACAAAAATAGGGTGGGATCATTACAAAATCTATTTCTCAAGAACCACTGGGCCACAAAAGTTGAAACTTATGTGGAAGCTTTCCTTGGATAATGTAAATTCTAAATTGTTCAAATCATGACCCCCTGGGGTAGGGCAGGGCCACAACGGGGAAGCAAAATTTTACATAGAAATATATATAGGAAAATCTTTGAAAATCTTCTCTAGAACCACTTGGCCAAAAAACCTGAAACTTAAGTGGAGCATCCCCGGGTAGCGTAGATTCTACATTGTTCAAATCATGACCCCTGGGGTAGGGCAGGGCCACAATGCGGAAGTTTTACATAGAAATATACAAGAAAATCTTTGAAAATCTTCTTCTCAAAAACCACTAGGCCGGAAAAGCTGAAACGTATGTGCACATCGTCATGGAAGCATCCTGGGGTAGTGTAGATTCCAAAATGTCTAAATTATGAACAGTAGGGTAGGGTGAGGTCGCAATATGTATTAAAAGGGGAAAATCTGGTAAAGAAACAGAATGGTCAAAGCTTCTCAGGTGAGTGATGTGGCCCATGGGCTTCTTGTTTATCGCATCAAGATGAAGTGTTCCAAATAACCTGTCACAATCAAGACATGGTATAGGGCATGTGTTACAAGCACTCTGACTGAGTGCAGTATGCTATGATTGTTACACATAAAATTGTTTGGAAAAGTTTATAGTTACTCTGCAGAAAAAGAATACTGCTGGATCAATGTTTGGATTATATTGAACAAAATATGTTTGTGAAACACTATTCGCCCAGGGACAACAAAGCTCAAGAAAGCTATTTTAGCACACTGGTCACAGTCAAGGTCACAGCTATTGCCCTTGGTGCCATTTCAAAGAACTTAATTAGTAAAGCTTGCATACCAAATATGAAATTTCTATCCCCTTTAGTTAAAAAATTATGGTGATGGTACGAAAAGGCTATTTTTAACATACAGGTTATAGTCAAGGTCATAAGATTTTTGCTCAAGAAAGCTGTTTTTAGTATATTGGTCACAGTCAAGGTCACAGTCACTGCCCTTGGTGCCATTTCAAAGAACAAAATTAGTGAAGTTTGCATACTAAATGTGAAATCTCTACCTCCTATGGTTCAAAAGTTATGGCAAAGGTACGAGAAGGCTATTTTTAACATACGGGTTACAGTCTAGGTCAAAAGATCGTTGCCCTTGGTGTCCTTTGAAGGAATTTAATAAGTGGGGTATGCATATAAAATATGATGTCTCTATCTTTCATGAATTCAAAAGTTATGGTAAATGTTCTAAAAAGCTATTTCAGCGTAAAGGTTACAGTCAATGTCTCAATGTCATTGACCTTAATGTCATTTGAAAGAGCTCATTAGTAGAGTATGTATACTAAATTCTTTCATGGTTCAAAAGTTATGGCACATATTAAAGTTTGCAGGCAAAAATCAAATTCCACCATATAGGTCTCAGTGAAGGTTACAAGGCCATTTAAGGATACATTCCAAATACATGTTTGAAGTCTCTGTCTTTCATGGTTCAAAAGTTAAGTTGAAGTTTGCAGACAAGCAGACAAACATACATGTACAGACAGACTGACAGGCAGACAGGACAAAACAGTATATGCCCCAAATGTATCAATGCGTTCGCATAAAAAAACACAGTAGAAGAGTTCAGGACTTAGCTAATAATTGGCGTAAAGATTGCTTACAATGTGTATCTGATCCTGATGAAAGACCAGAAGGTCAGATGTAATAAACAGATGAAAAGATAAAAGAAAGATAAATAATTTTTCCAATTTTTTATTTTGATTCGTGACCTACATGTAAAAACTGTGAATGTCAAATATTAGCAAAGATTCAAATTTACCTGAATCATGACCTTGAAAATCAAACCAGGATAACTGAAATTAACTTATAATAATTCCATTATAAACTTGAACATTTATTTAATTCATGTACAGAGAGAGAGAGAGACATTCATGCCTGACTTGTTCTATTTTTCATGAAATAATTTGGATCAGGTAAGCTAATGATGTTCAAACTTATGTTTGTAATTTGAAGAAATTAATAGAATATTTACAAAAGAAAAATCAAATATTTTATTTTCGTTTTGCAGTAAATTCATCAAGCCAAAAACAACGCTTTAAAGTTAAACTTGATGAATCAAGGCAACAAAGGAGTGTTCAGGACAGACCTGCAGAATTATCTGGTGACATGAAAAGGTTGGACATTGAAGAGAAAGTGTATCAGAAGGATACAGGCAGTAGAACAAGCAATAAAGAATCATCGAGTGCTGAAGAAATTACACATGAGAGTTTGAAAACAGAATCTGAATCACATAAAGGGAATGAAGCCGCTGCCTTTGTTGAAAAAGAAGAAATGACTGAAGACAAACAAAGTATCCTTGAGAACTCAGAAATATCGGGAATTTTACGAGTTTCCAAAGATGCATCGGATGATCCAGAGAAAAAAATTACTATGGTAGACTTTGCGGGACAGTGTTCATATTATGCCTCACACCAGATTTTTCTGAGTCCCCGGGCATTCTTCATTCTAGTGCTGAATATGGAAAAGAAATTACTTGAAAAGGTTGGAAAAGAAGTCTGTAGCCAGGAAGGTTCGATTTACGAAGGATGGACACACAAAGGTATCTTTTAATTACATGATTAGTGTTTATTACGTGTAGTTGTCTAGTTTTTGTTGAAGCAAATGCATTATAAGTATAGAAGTTCTTTCTGCTTAATTTTTATAATTGACAAGCAATCTCTTTTAGAGTCATAATTTCGTAAGTTTTGAGGTCAATACAATGACCTTGAAAACTGCATGAAGATTTAACAACGGTTCAAAATGATCGAGATGATTGTTATAGTCTATGGATTTACTCAAGTCTATACAAAGGTCATATATTCAAAATTAGGTTCATGTTCGTTGCTCATTACCAAGGTTTCGTGTTTAGTTAATTTCAATTAAACAGGATTTAGGCCTCAGGAATTTGCAAATTTATTGATAGTATTACATGTATGATTGAGTTCTTGTTAAAGATAAATATTTATTTTTATGTTGAAGATGAATACACTGATAAACAATAGTTTAATGTAGGCTTACAGGGTGGTGTATTATTAATAAAGCTACAGAGTAAATATTGTTTTTTTTTTATTTTATTCAGACTATCTCACATTCTGGGCCAAGTCCATTCATCAATACAGCAGTGAAAAGGCTCCTGTATTACTGGTGGGCACCCATGCTGAACAAAAGACAAAAGAGGTATCTAATAGCACTGCAAAAAGCTTTTTAGCTCCTCGAAACTGAAGAAGCGTAGGAACTTTTTGATCAAATTTGTCCGCTGTCTGTCATCATTGCCGTTTGTACTTTAAATATTGTAAAACTCTTCTGATTTATCACTGGGCTAATTTCAACCAAACTTCGCACATATTATACTGTTAAATAGAGAATATTACATACTAAAATCCATATCATATGTCATATCAGCCCGAGGGCCGAAGGCCCGAGGGCTGATATGGGGCCCGAGGGCTGATGTGACATATGATATGGATTTTAGTATGTAGTATTCTATTTATCATATATTTAAAATACTTAATATGCGAGTTCACATATGGTCGTTGAAGGATGTTTGTGCTTGTTAGTGACAGTTTTCTTTAAAATCTAATAGAGCCAATTTTAGGTAACTGGAAAAAAAAATTAAGACCACAAATGTCATTCAAGAATTATTTTATGTGAATATTTAAATAAAATCTAGTAAATTAACTTTTAAACTTAATACAAACGTTACTTCCGGTTTGATATGGATTTTCGGCCCGCCGGTCCGATACGTGATATGGCTTTTCGGACCGGTCCGTGATATGGGGTATTGTGACGTCACCCGTATCACACCGTGCAGAATCGGTGTATTTACTACTAAGTATATGATAAGTTATTTTATTATATAGGTAAAGGGAATTTACATTTGTTCAAAGCAAGGCTCCATCTCTTCCATGTAGCTAGAAGTAGTGAAAACTGGATGGTGCTATTTAAAAAAAAAAACTTCTTAAGAGCCAGTCCTCGAGAAAAACATGCAAAATTTAAAAAAATCGTCCAAATGGAAGGTTTCAACTTGGGAATTTTTAGTGGCTTGAAATTTTCTACATAAAGGTAGAAGTCAGAATGTCAACAAAAAATGCCAAACTTTGCATCTATTTTTAGTAACAGCTCATTTGCATATTTGTCGAAAATCACACAAAATTTAATGGAAGATGTATACAAATTGATCAAGTCAAAAAGTTACCTTTTGTCATCAGTTTATTTTCAAATTTTGTTTCATTGTCAAAGTCATTGTCCAATTAACACAATTAATGAGGAAAAACTTAAATCAAATGAATATTTTATTTTTTACACATCTATTTATAGATCCTAAGTAAATCATAATGCCAATTCACCCGATTTTGTCGGGTCACACCCTCTTTTTCAACCCATAACCCGATTATTTTTTATGACCCGGCGGGTCATGCTTATCACACGATTTTTGCCGAACAACCCGAAAATCTCCCGATTTCCGGATTTGGTTCGTAAATTAGGTTGCACTTTTAACTTCCAGTTACAACCCAAGCTTAGATCTACGTAAACAATTCCGATGGATTAATTATCTTTGTAGGTGTAAACAATTAACTGGGTGTTGTTTTGACAAATCAATGTTTGAAGTCAATTAAAGTGGCTTCCAATAAAACTAGATCATTATCAGGGCCAACAGGAACAAACTGAACCAAACACATGTCTCTCATTGAACCAAGAAAAAGAGAAACGATATTTATGTACATATCAAGGAATCTTGGGGGAAAAAACTTTCATTCTAGATAAAATAAAGTGATCAAAGACAGTGTACGCCTAACTTCAAATTTAAAACATGTTGCAGTAATTAATTAATTAAGAGAGAGGAAAAACAAAACTTCAAAACTGAAATTGGTATGCTTTCAAATTTAGCAGAAACTGAAAAGGCCTTTTTAAAAAAATGTACATTTACTTCAGGTCAAATCTGAAATATGAAACCTTTAATTTTCATTTTTAACATGTAAATTAAAGCAAATTATGTATGAATTTTTTTTATCATAGTAAATTAAATCCTTTTTCAATAAAAGAATTCTCACTACACAAATTCTTTTAATATATGTATTATAAAATTTAATCATGGTAAATATGTCGTGAATGTCGTTACACGTTGTGACCAGATTTTTTACTTTCCAAATCTGGTCATGACCAGAATTTTACATGCTGGAGGTTGGCAAGTACATGTAAATGAGTATGATTTTTTAGCCATTTTTAGATGCTCGTTTCTCTCAAGACCAAGGTTGAAATTAAATCAAATTAATTGTTACTTTAAGAATGATCTAAGGTCTACTCTGTATTAAAATATTGAGCTTGGGAAATAATATCTACATGCTGTTAATTAACTTTGAAATACCATATTTTGCTACAATTTCACATATTTTGAAAAACAGTCTTTTACCATATTTTTGGATTATTTCTATGTTATTTAAAGAAAAAGAGAAGATTCTTAATCTAATATATTTTTTTAGAAGAGGAATAACTGATTTGGACACTTCATATAACTTTCTTTTGCTTATTTTATTCTCTTGTTACCAATCTGCTGGAATTAAATTGTTATCTCCCCTTGTTGGAACTCCTTTGTATTATTGGGTAAGAAGTGACAGGTATGTCAATATGGAAAAAAGAAAGTCATGTATGATCATTTTTTCTTCACCTAGGGAGTTGTGGAGTATTATTGCACTGTCAAAGAGGGAAAACTTATTTTAAGATACTTGAATGTAAAAAAAAACAAACAATTTAGCTGGAATAAACAAATACATGTAACAGGCCCATAGGAAGCAATTTCAGTGTGGGGGAGGGGGGACAACCTACATTACCAACTATAAAAAAATACCAAGAAATACATAGAAAGTGATTAAAAATAAAAATTCATCAGATTTTTTTTTTTATTTTGGGCATATACATGTAGTAGGTATATTTTGAATAGGGTTCTGTCCTCGGGGAATCTACATGTATATCATGGTAATTAACAGATACAAATTTTTTCCTAACAAGTAGGCCTACAATTAAATTAAATCAAATAATAACATATTTTTAATCAAAATATACATTTGATATTTTGTTTAAGGCACCTGGCCCCGTTCAAGTTCAAGATCATTTTATTCACTCAAACCATTTTAAGTACATGAGGACAATGAAGAATATTTACAACATATACATTCAGGTCAGAGGACAAGTATATGATATACATAATCAGAATATGAAAAGGAAAAGAAAAAAAAAAACATATGAAACATGTTATAATGAAATAAGTGAGGGATCGAAAAATCATGGAGGAATGACTAACTAAAATCATATATTTACAATATAAACGCACATAGTTTTCTAAGTGTCTTAGCAACTTGTTTTGTCATTATTTGAGAAAATATAAGAATACAAACAGGTATTTGATTGCATACTCTCAACAAATTCAAAAGTTTTTTTGTAATTTCAATCTACATGTAAATTGTTTTGGTTTCATAAATTTAGTGTGTTTTTGAGTTAACCAAACACCGTTATTCCTAGGAATATTTTTATTTTTACATTACATACTTTAAACTACTGTGTTACGTAACATTCATATATTGATAAAGTCAGACCTCACATTAAAAATCATCAGCTCAAAGGGAGATACCACCAATTTAGATACCCCACTGATATAGGACCCTCCACGATAAATATTGGCAAAATTATTTGGGGGAGGGTACTATCACCCCCTAAGAAAGTATGAGTCGTTACTGCAGCCAAAACTTTGCTAGTTTGCAGTAAAGTGGTAAAAATTTAAAACTGGCTATAAACATGATATAAGACTGTGTAGCGGACAGTATATAGGGAACTTATACTGCCTCGCTAGTGAGCTAGCTTTTCTGGTGATGCGGTAGAGTCTCCCTCCAGGCAAGTTGGGCAACGGTGAGCCTGTTTAACCCTTGGATGGGTGACCCCTTCACGTTAAAAAATTGGAGGCAGCATAGTGACTGGTGTCCTGCTTCAGGAAGTCTTAGAGCTAGGACTTAGTGTCCATACACAGACTTCGTGTCTGTGGACGGCAGGGGTTGCCGTATCTGAAGTCATATTCTGATCTGCTTCAGAAAGCTCTAAGACTACGACTTTGTGTCCAGGTACAGACTTCGTGTCCGTGAACGGCATTGGTTGCCGTAGCTGAAGAGGCCCAAATACTCAGAGAAAACTCATGCTTAGATTTGGGTCGAAGCTTCCCCGAGTGGGTGAAGTGTAGCGGACAGTACATAGGGAACTCCAGTGAGCTAGCTTTTCTGGTGATGCGATAGAGTCTCTCTCTGTTTCAGGCAAGTTCAGCAAAGGCGAGCCTTTTTAACCCTTGGATGGTTGACCGCTTCACGTTACAACTGGATTCATATTTATTCAAATTGGGGGAGGGGGGCTATCAAATTTTGCAAAATTATTTTCAAAACATTATTAATAAAATTGTTTAAGGCTGTGTAAATTAATATTTGATACTTTTTCTGAATAACCATAATGGTGTTATTAATACATGTACCATTGCAGACAGAGATAAATTGTATTTTTTTAATGTTATATGTATGCATGCCTCTGAAAACAGTTGGGGGAGGGGGCGTGTCAGTCCATCAAGGTCAGGATATTAAATATACGAGTGTATCTAGTACCCAATCGTTTAACTCAATCCACCTCTCAACAATTTACATACTAATATTGAAATGGATAAAATAATGAAAAATGATAAGGGTTCTAATTGCTAAAACGAGGAAAGGAAAACGGAACGGAAAACGTATTATATTATTTTATTTTAGATTAAATCACCTTAAATAAACAAATTCATAAACAATATATATTTTAGAAATTTCATCCCCCATTATTTATATAAAGTTGATTTATTCATGTTCATAAAATCTCTTATTCACAAAAATTGCAGCCATAGCAGTGACGAAGAAACGATTTTGAAAGGGTCAGGGGGGGGGGGGCTTGTAAAATTAAACTTACCTGAAGAAGCGAAAAAAGAATACAATTGTTTGATTCGGGAGGTGGGATTAGAGTAAACTCTAGATCTTTCATTTTCTTAACCTCCTTTATGGAGCTTTTTGTAAAATATCCCCTGTCAGTATTTTTATAAGGTTGTACCAATTTAAAATTGACAGAAAGCAAATAACTAGCTGCAGAACTGTAGCTCTCCGAAAAAAAACATATATTGATAGACCGGAGAGCTACAGTGCCAACCATTGAAAAAACTGTATATTTATTGCGCACGAAAAAAATGCGCTGTTTCTCGATTTATTTTTCCGTGTTCTTAAAACTGTCATCTCAAAACTTTACCAACTGTGTGTTCCTAACATATTCTTTCACCGTTTCCACAACAAAACATTCCTTATAACTGTTTTTAATAGCCCTCCTGGACCTGGAATTGAGAAGATATTTCGGTCTAACACGCTTCGTACAGATCTAAACCAAGGGTGCTTGAGGACAGGAATCCCCCCCCCCCACCTTCGATATAGATCCCTAGGCTTTTTCGAATTTTTTCTCATAAAATATCTTTCATTGCCATATTTGTGATAAGATCTATACCAGCAAATAGAAAAATTACCTAAAACAAACGGTCTATTAAATCTACACTACATTCTCTATATAAAAATCATATAGAGAGGGTAGATATTTTTATAAAATGTAACTTTAAACAATTTTTCTAAATTGATAGGATAGATTATATCACATTGTATTGTATTGGGGAGGGGCTGTCCAAGGGTCTAAATGAAATTTTATGCATTCTTAAGTGAAGCAAAGCTGTTTCACTTTTATAGAAACTTACAGAGCCCAAAATTCCCTAATGTGAACATTCGTCTTTAATTTTTTTTTTGATCAAATGATGTCCCCAGGGATATGGTGGGGCCACGGTATGTGATCAAAATTTTAATTATCAATACGTATATAAATATAGAGAAGAAAAATCTGAATAACATAGACTTATGTTTAATCATGTTGACATGTTAGGATCCAAATGTAAGGTAATGAAGATTCAAATTTCTTTTAATCAATCTTTCAAATGAACCCTAAGTGTAGGAAGAAGTCACAAATGAGGATCAAATTTTTACGAAGTAAAATTAAAAAAAAAAAAACATCTTTTCAAGAACAGCTAAGTCCATCGCATACTTGCTTCATACTTTTAAACTCAATAAATCTTTTTTAACAGGAAAAAGAAAAGTTTTTCCGTGAGATATGGACGAGTTTGGAAACTAAGGATGCGTCTCTGCAAAACCATATTGACAGGGAAAGGATGTTTGCTGTTGGATTCCATGAGAATGAATGCATTGAAAAAATCAAGATGTCAATTGTTGATGTTGTCAAGAATCTTGATCACTGGGGAGAGAAACTTCCATACTCCTGGGCAATGTTTGAAAATTTCTTCCAAGAAAAGAAAAACCTTAAAATCATCAACAAAGAGACTCTTTTGGCTTTCAATGAAGCATTGCCAGAAGAACTGAAGTTGGGAACACAAGAAGATGTTAACACCATGCTGCATTTTTTTCATGACATTAGAGAAATTTTACACTTTGACCAAGAATCCCTCGGAGGAATCATAATTCTTGATGTTCAATGGTTTGCAGATGCATTCAAAAATATTATCACAGATAAAAACCATGCAGCAGAGGATTTATTTAAGCTTGCATCACAATGGGACAAATTTAATGAAACTGGAGAACTGAGTGATGTACTACTGTCTTCAATATGGAAAATGAACAAGAACAGATACCTGGAACACAAAGATATTATTATGCGCTACACGGAGAAGCTCGGACTCCTAGCTAAAATGGATGACAAAAAATGGTATGTCCCCTGTATGAACAAGAAACCATTTCCTGCGGAATACTTTTCATCCTACCCTGCCTCATCCATCCTATGCTACGTCTTTGATGCTCTTCCTGCTGGAATTTTCCAGCGCCTGGTAGCTATTTGCATGCAAATACCATGGAAACTTAATTCAAGTCGTGATGAACTATGTATTTACCAGACAGGAGCTGTGTTTCGTTTTGAGAACCATAACATTCTGATTGGTGTGACACCAAAAGAAATTCAGTTACAAGTGTTTGTAATTGAAGGAGAGGTCGATAAATCAACATGTCAACAAATAAAGCACAAGATCGACAATATACTGAACATTCTCTCAGAAACATTTCATGCAGACTCTAAATTTGCTCATGCTTTCAAATGTAAAGCTACGGGATTCTGTGATACCAGTGAAAGTTCTGTGATCAACGAATCAGAATTTATAAAACCAACCTTTCAGTGTCCTGCCTGTCCAATTGGGAGAATGCATAACATCAACTCAAAGGATATCAAGAAATATTGGATACAGGTATTTAATTTTAACAGTTGCGTTTTCCAGAAGAGAAAAAAAGGAAAGGATGAGGTGACTTGCGGCCCCTCGTATACTGACAAAAAATTAAATGTCTAAATTTTACTCAAATTTTTGTATGTAACTAATCACTGATATGTGTACCTTTATAGAATACTATTTTTAACAAAAATAGAAACGTAATTTGAAAGATGTAGATATTTTATTTGGGTAGGGGTAGTATGTTTACGTTCAATTCCAATTGCATTTTAACCCCGCCCAACTGTTTGAAGTCATTAAAATATACGAGCGCAGTTAGGTACAATTTTCTCCTTTGGCTGATCACTATATTTTATCTAGATTTTTTTATGAAATCTACCTATATGTGAAAGGAGAAAATTGTACCTAACTGCGCTCACATGCTATTTTTTAAAAAAAATGTAAAATCTAGTTGGCCTTTCCCATTATAAACAGATCAACGGTACTAGATTTTCTGACGTAAGAATGAATTCATATGCTAATCGAGGCACAGGCGATACTTTCTAACTGACCAATCAGCTAAATGAAATTCGTTACAAGTGAGTACCACAAAAATACTATGGAAACGTGCTTTCCGATATTTTTTATGCATTTGAGTCACAGATTAGACACGGATCTACATATGTATCATTTCCGAGACCACAGTAAAATTTATATACAGTTACAAACAATTGATAGAATATACATGATATACAATAGTTTAAAGTTTTGTAGCGTGTTTGGTGAGCAATTCGCTAGGTCTACACGTATTCCCGAGTATCGGTGAATACAAGTTTCATGTGCATTTCTTGTCCTAAAAACCGTAAATGCTGAAAATCCATGCGTATTATTAAGTATAAACAGCATTGGATGACCATTATAAAAGTTTGAAATGTAGAAAAGGATAACAGGTATATTGACCTAAACCACGTGTCTGCGATAATATGGAAACGTAGTAAACCAGCATGTTTTGTTGTTCTGTTATTGGATTGGACAATGACTAAGTGCGAAACAATAACAATAGCCATATAAGGTCTTCTCGGACACGCATATCCTTCTATTGTACTAAGACCCGCCCATTCCCTTGCCGCAAAAGAAAATATTCGCACAAACCTGGCCGAATTTAGCTGTGATAGGGTCTAAAAAATCAAAGATAATGCAGTATTCCTTATAATTATAATGTGTCTGAACTATTGAAACTATTCAAAAGGCATCGTATTTATTCACTCATGTTTGAAAACTACCAACATCGTTGTAGATTAAATATAATTCGTCATGGAAAAAGGGGCCCCAGATAGCAGTTATGTCACATCATCCTTTAACTGGAATATTTATTTTGTAAAATTTAACTATTATGGATCATATTTTGACTGTTCTACTCGTATCGGTATGTATTGGCTACATGACTCATGTTTTCACTGTAAAGTCTTCAGTCAATTCAATTACACAACAGAAACGTCTAAGAAAATGCATCATTCAAAATCAACTGTTGAATAAGTGTTTCATGAACTGTTCAAAAAGATTACGATGGAAGTTTAGATCTGAGGAAAAAAAGGATTATTTTTTACAAAAAAATGTCAAAAAGGGTAAAATGCATGTACAATAAATTTAAATCAAAAATAGGAAAAGCTTTTTAGCTCACCTGAGCCAAAGGCTCAAGTGAGCTTTTCTGATCACAATTTGTCCGTTGTCTGTCGTCGTCGTTGTTGTTGTCGTTGTCGTTGTAAACTTTTCACAATTTCCACTTCTTCTCAAGAACCGCTGGGCTAATTTCAACCAAACTTGCCACAAAGCATCCTAGGGTGAAGGGGATTCAAGTTTGTTCAAATGAAGGGCCAGGCCCTCATTCAAGGGGAGATAATTGGGAATTAATGAAAATTTGATGGTATGTTTTAAAAATCTTCTTCTCAAGAACCACTGAGCCAGGAAAGATGAAACTTATGGGAAAACATCCTCAGGTAGTGTAGATTCAAGTTTGTTAAAATCATGACCCCCAGGGGTAGAGCGGAGCCACAATGGCCGACCAAAGTTTTACATAGAAATATATAGGAAAATTCTTTAAAAATCTTCTTCTCAAGAATAACAAAGCCATAATTGATCATATGTATATGAAAGCATCCTCAGGTAGTGTAGATTCAAGTTTGTTCAAATCATGACCCCCGGGGGTAGGGCGGGGCCACAATGGCTGACCAAAGTTTTACATAGAAATATATAGAAAATTCTTTAAAAATCTTCTTCTCAAGAATAACAAAGCCATAATTGATCATATTTATATGGAAGCATCCTCAGGTAGTGTAGATTCAAGTTTGTTCAAATCATTACCCTTGGGGTAGGGCGGGGCCACAATGGCCAACCAAAGTTTTTCATAGACATATATAGGAAAATTCCTTAAAATCATCTTATCAAGAATAGAAAAGCCAGGATTGGTATTGTGACTACTTTTGGATTTAAATTATTAAATAATAAACCAATTTCTACTTTTTCCTAGCCACAGTGCTCAGATGAGCGATGTGGCCTATGGGCCTCTTGTTGAAATTCATAGAGAGTAAATACAAGTTATTTAATTAATTTCTTAAAATAAAGAAATGGGTAAAATTTGAATATAATTCGCATTTGGTTAAAAAATGTCTTTAAAGACTGATTTTGATAAGGTCATCGTGGCATTTCAGAGAATTATACATCATTGTTGTGCAACATATATACTTCTAATCATAATACCAATATTTAGTTAGGGGTGGTGAAAACAATGTAGCTTTGCTTCATCTCAGTTAAAATCAGAAGTTATATATGTATATGGAGTTTTTCAATAGTAGCGAGAACTGCAGGTCGAGAGCAGCAATGAAAGTTGTCATTTCACTGAAACACTGATTGTTTTCACTGAAACAAAAAAGTAAGATACATATTATGTGAAAGTGAGACGATTGTTTGATTTTAATTATTTCACTGTTGCGCATTCAGGAAATTTTGTGTGTAATATTATCTAAACTTAAATGATCATTCACTATGAGCACACGCAGTTTTAGTGTCAATATTTACATATTAAAGGTACATAATGATGAAAATCAACCTTCTGAAGATAAAGGTTCACTGTCAGGGAGTTCTGGATCAAGTGAGTCACATCCAAAAGGTAACTCAGTTAAATTTGAGATCAAATTCTTTGTTCATTTCACATTATCCCCGACTTTATATTAGCACAGATAATATAATATTAGCAAGGGTAAGTTGCTAGGTACATGTACCAGGAATATTGATGTACAGATAAATATTTTCAATCAGCGAAAATTTTTCAATCATTCAAGACTATACATATGTAAATTCTGATTAAAATGGCAAAGTTTTATATAAATTTTATATTTTATTTGTTAAAAAGAAGTTTATTAATAAATTATATATATCAAATTTGAATTGTTTCAGAATTCTAGAAATAAACTATGAGGCATTATTACTTCCATTTCAAAACGTTGAAATGCATTCCTATGGGTAAATCTTTTAAAATCAAATTACTTGTCAGACTACATGCCCCTTCTTTTATTTTTTGTGTACACTCTATACAAATTGAAATGCTGGCAGACTTATAAAAGAAAATCAACCTTAAACAATTACATAAAATAGGCAGCATTTTTTTTACTGATTATTGTTCTATCTTTATATGAGGAACAGGTATGTTTTTTTTCGCCTTAAAAGATTCAGTAAATCCCCCTTTTTGTATACTTTTGTATTCAACATGAGGGAGAAAGTATTGTAATGATTGCAATTTATTTTCATTTACAATAATCATGTTAATAAAATTTACCATATTGTCATTAATTGACATACTTGGGCTATATTTCCATTATATAGATAATTTTGCCAGGATATTTAAGTTATTGCAAGTTGGAACTGATGCAGTAAGAATCTGCTTCGATAAGTTCTTCCCAAACGAAGAACTACAAAAGACGCTAAAAGAATATGAAGCAGACATGAGAAGAGGACAGTTCCGATTCCAACCATCACAGTTAGAAATTCTTTTTCCTCAACTAGGTACTTATTGTTTTCTTAATTTTACTTTTTTTTAATGATAAACGTTTTGCTTCTTAAAATATTTAATGGCATAAAGGAATATAAAAGTCTGTAAAAAGATTTTTGCTATGATATGAACATTTTCTGTACTATATCTCCTAATGTTTTTCCTTTAACAACGACATTTTATTCCTTAAATAAATGATTACATTTTTTCTTACCAAGAACATTTTAACCCTAAAAGATTTGTTATTTTACGGTATTGAACTAATGACTTGCATTAAGAAGAAGAAGCATTTATTCCATCCAAACTTGAAAAGTCTACCAAAAAAAAGAAAAAAATATACACACTGTACTTGATATCAAACCAAAAATGTGAAAGTATAAGTTAAGTTTAAATATATATAATTTTACCAAAGATTGTAGGGACCATAATTTGTAATTAAATACATATTGACCCAAATCAAACTATGATGGAGAAATATATAAGTTTTTATATACGAGGGGCATTTCAAAAGTTCTGGCAACTCTTTAATAAAAGGTTAACCATTTTAAGGAAATTATTGAGTTTCATATCATTGGAAAAATCAGAAATATATACACATATTGTGATGTCACTTTATAATTTTTATGACATAATAACTCCGAAAATGATGTCAGACTGTATAATGTTTAGCATACTGAAAAGTCGCGTTTTTATCCACATGAGACGTTCGTAAAAGTTCTGTCAAAGGTTTATTTGAAAAAAGAATATTTCAAAGAAAATTTAATCTGCAAAGAGTTAGAGTGGAACTATGATACTGTTTATCAACAATTCCATCATACATTGTATTGTTTGTTTACGAGCACTGTTTATGTCCTGTTATGCTAACATAGACATTCATTTAAGATTTCTATTTACATGATACGGCTGGATTTTCGGTGTTTTATCTAGCTCTCCATTGTTTGAAATTAAACATGTTCTGTATTTAACTGAAGTATATTAATGCAGTTTTCCTCAAATATATTTTGAGTAACATGACTCATACCGTTTACAAATAAAATACACTAAATCTTGTCCCCGACTTGATTTTGTGCTTTTTTTTATAGTTTCAAATTCGGCGCCCCAAAACTTTTTACTGCTTTTGACTTTTGAATCCAAAAATGAATTTAAGTTACTCAGACATGTCAAGTCTTATAATTTATTATCCATGCATTAAAATTTGCGAATATGTGGAGGTACAGTGTGGTTACAACTGCGCTGCCGCCATTTTGGATTTTATGAAAAATATGGGGTACACTAAACTTAACTTCTGTTGAGCTTCATCAATCCCACAAATCTGGTTAAAACACCTGACGAATTTATACCAT